GATTGTATATGATATTCCAAATTTCAATATGATTATTACATACATTTTTCTCTTCCTCCTCAGAATGAAAAAATGTGTGTATATGTATATATGTGTGTATATGTATATATGTATGTATATATACACACATACATATACACATATACATATGTGTGTGTGTATGTAGCATTTTCTTTATCTATTCATCCATCAATGAGCACTTAGCTTGTTTCCATGTCTTGAGTATTGTAAATAATGCTGCAGTGAACATGGGGGTGCAGTCATCGTTTTGAGTTATTGTCTTTGTTTCCTTCAGAGAATTACCCAGAAATGGAATTGCTGGATCATGTGATAGTTTTATTTTTATTGTTTTGAGGAACTTCTACACTGTTTTCCATGGTGACTGCACCACTTTGCATCCTCACCAATAGTTGTCATTTCCGGTCTTGCTGATAATAGCCGTTCTTACTGGTGTGAGATGATATGTCATTGTGGTTTTGATTAGCATTTCCTTGATGATTAGTATTGTTGAGCATCTTTTCATGTATCTGAGATCATATCTTGAATTTTGAGTAATCTTGTTTTAGTATGTTTCATATATACAAAATGATTGTTTAATCCAAGTTGGCATTTATTTTATTTCAGCATTAGCTATTTGACCCATTAAAATTATGTAATAGGAATTATAATATGGCTGCATATTAAATGATAAAAGATTTTAAAGAAAGCCTAAGTGAAGACTACTTTGGAATGAACCATTTCAGTACTTAAAATTCTCCGGGCAAGTTAAATTTATATTCAGGTTTGATGTTAGCATTGCATTCTTCCCTTGTAAATTAACAGATTGGATATGTCATGTCAAATCTGACTTTTGAAAAGATAGGGAATACTCAGATATTTATAAGTAATTCAGTGATAATTTTCTCATTTCAATACATTCAACTTTAGACTGCAGAGATGAATGAACGCTTGCAGAAAATGGGAGAGTCTTCTCTGAGAAATTTTAGAATGGACACTGAACAAAGTTTGTACAAGTTCGAAGGAGAAGATTACAGAGAAAAACAGAAGGTAACTTTTTATCCTCAACCATTAGACTCTCAAATTAGCATTTCTCCTCATAACAGTTATAAAAAAAACACTGGCACTTACCTATTACAGTACTTTGCTATAGAGTGAAATTTGATGTAGGTCAAAAGATCTCATGTAAAGGGCTATATCTTTAATATATTTTACTGGTTTATTATCATCACTGTCATTGTCATTATCATTTTTGCTGCTATTGCTGCTATGACTATTACTTTTGTTTTGAGAAGCAGTATAGGGTTGTAGTTGAGTTCCTGGATTCTGAAACTGAATCCCCAAATCTATCACTAATAAATTGACTTTAGATACTTGGTTTTCTCATTTATCACGTGAAAGTTATAGTAATTACATCATAGATCATAGAATGATTCTGATGATGAAATGAGTTAATATTCCTAAAGTAATTAGAACAATGTGTGGTACTTAATAACTATATTAGTAATGATGTTATTGACATAGTTACTTAAATGCTAAGACTTTGTAAATGTGGTCTCATTTATGAAGTAATGCCTTGTAACATACTGCATGGACGGCAATGGTCCTATGAAGAAATGAGTTTTATTTATTTTGGTTGTTTTAATTAAATTTGTAGCTATAATTTTTAAAACTTTATTTTGAAGTGACTTTAGACTTTATTGAAAAAAAATAGTACAGAGTTCATATATATCTTTCACTGAGCTTTCCCTATTGTTAACAACTTACATAATCATAGTATAGTGATCAAATCCAGAAAATTAACACATTTTTCCCTAATGTCCTTCCCTGTTCCAGGGGATATGGTTCAGAACCCCAAATTTCATTTTTTGAAAAACAGATTCTTATTTTTAAGAGCAGTTTTAGGTTTACAGCAAAATCCAGCAGAAAATAGAGTTCCTATATTCTTCCTGCCCTCACATAAACACAGCCCCTTCCACTATCAACATCCACCACCAGAGTGGTACCTGTGGAACCTACATTGATATATAATTATCATTCAAAGTCCATCATTTGCATTAGGGTTTACTTTTGGTGTTGTATATTCTATGAGTTTGGATAAATGTATAAGTGACATGTATGTACTATTACAGTATTATACAGAATAGTTTCACTGATCTAAAAATCCTCTGTGTGCTACCTGTTCATCCCACCTTACCTTCACCTTCTGCAACAACTGATCTTTGTACTTTCTCCATTGTTTTGCCTTTTCCAGAATATCATATAGTTGGAATCATGCAGTATCTAGCCTTTCCAGATAGACTTCTTTTACTTAGCAATATGCATTTAAGGGTTCTTCATATCTTTACATGGCTTGATTGCTTATCTTTTTAGTGCTGAGTAATATTTTGTTGTCTGGATGTACTACAGTTTATTCATTCATCTACTGAAGGACATCCTGGTTGCTTTCAAGTTTTGGCATATTTATAATTAAATAAAGCTACCATAAACATCCATGTGCAGGTTTTTGTGTGGACATAGATTTTCAACTCCTTTGAGTTAATACACAAGGAAAATGATTGCTGGATCGTATGGTAAGTCTACGTTTAGTTTTATAAGAAATTGCCAACCTGTCTTCCAAAGTGGCCATATCATTTTGAATTACTTTGAGCAATGGATGAGAGTTCCTGCTGGTCCACATCCTCATCAGTATTTAGTGTTGTCAGTGTTCTGGATTTTTGCCATTCTAATAGGCGTGTATGGGTATCTAATTTTAATTTGCATTCCCTTGATGACATATCTGATATGGAACATTTTTTTATTTGCTTATTTGCCATGTGGGGATGTGTCTGTTCAGGTTTTTGCTCATTTTATAATCAGGTTGGTTGTTTTCTTATTGTTCAGTTTTAAGAGTTATTTGTGTATTTTGGATAACAGCCCTTTATCAGATGTATCTTTTGCAAAGATTTTCTTCCATTCTGTGGCTTGTCTTCTCATTTTCGATCCACATTGCATTTTTGTTGCTGTGTCTCCTTAGTCTCTTCTAATCTCTAATAGTTCTCAGTTTTTCTTTGTCTTTCATGACCTTGACACTTTAGAAGAGTATTAGTATTCAGTTATTTTGTAGTTTGTGTCTCACTTTGGATTTGTCTAACATTTTCCCATGATTTGATTAAAACTTTGCATTTTTGACAAGAATGCTATAGAGGGGATGTTATGTCCTTTTTAGTGCATCATACTAGGGGAACATATGGTGTTGCTCTATCTTATTACTGGCGATATTAACCTTGATTACTTTGTTGAAGTGTTGTCTGCTGGGTTCTCTGCTGCGGGGTTATAATTTTTCTTTTTATAATAAGTATCTTGGGGGAGATACTCCTCAAACTTTTACCCACTGATTTTAGCATCTATTGGTGGAGTTTGCCTTCAACAGTTATTATTGTGGTGTTTGCCTAATGTTAATTTTTTTTATTTCCTTTATTCCATCTATGCATTAATTAACTGGGATTTTTTCTGTAAGGAAGAGCTGTCTCTTTTCATTTACATACTTATTTATATTAACATGGACTCATCGATCATTATTTTACTTTTTGTTATAATACAAGTCTGTCATTTTGTTGCTCAAATTATTTTATAAAGCCGTTATATTTTTTAACTCACAGAAATGAATTTTACTAAAATAAAAATATACGTTACAGATTTGATTTTACTGAAGAAATGAGAGGTGAGCCATTTTAGTTTGCAGTGCAACTGGTATGCTGACAATGCTTTGTTGCTATTATTATTATTATTATTATTTTTGGTAGATTTTAGTGTCTTGACTTAAGTCTATCTAGTTATATCTATAACCTTAATTCTGACTGTTTACATTTTATGTTGATGAGATGGAGGTGATGGCCTGCATGCACAGGCTGGAAATTGCCTTCCTAATATGCATTTTAGATCTCATTATGTGATATGAATTTTATAAAATTTACAGTTATTCCTGTGGGCATACTGGTATTAAGAGTGTTTTATAAAGTGGAAAAATATTAAACAGTGAAGAGTCTAAATATCAGGGGAACTTCTTATCTATATTATTAGAAGAAAATTAGACTTAGTAAAATATTTATCTATATCTAATATAACCAGTTTTTCTGTGCTTCTAATTCTAGGAAAATAATGATGTAGACAGAAATTTTAATAATAGTAATGATGACTTGTATTTTTATAATTGAATATCTGACAAATCAGAATTTTTTTCTGAATATTCTAAGTTGAGATTATATTTTTTCTATCTTTTCATATTTCCTAGATAGGTTCTTAAAATAGGTTTATATTATCCTTTGAAGAGAATCAAAAACCTGCAAAAATGTTGTTTATACATAAATCATGAGAATTACATAGTGAAGTGATTTTCATATATGATTTGTTGAACCAATTGCATTACTTTACAGTCATAAGTAGTAAATTGTCATAATGACTGACATTGATCCTGAATAAATGAACCTGAATAAGTTTATATTAACATACTCATATAAAACAAATGAATTTAGCGTGTTTTATTGTTTTTGAAAGTTCAGGAATTAGTCTTTAATGCTTATTTCAAATTTGAATACCTAGGCCTTCAAGCAAATATAGGTTAAATGGCCAAGTGCATTACTTTTAGAAAGTTAATTTAAATTATTATTGATTTCTTCACCCCAAATGCGACAAATAAAATATTGGTTATTTATAAAATATTACTATCATCTGCATTAATCCATCTGAGGGGGAAAAGAAAAGAAAACTTATTTCACTGCTCTGGGTATTTCTCATTTTACATAAACTCACATTATACTATGCATATTTTATAGTTTTTAGAGTTAAAAGAAACCTTAAAGGTTATTTAGTCTAATCATTTTTGTAATTAAGAAATCCCATTATAGGATCTAGGACAGTTATCCAGCCTTTAAATGCAGTCATGCTGGGAATCCTACTTCTCTCAGGATAGTTAATTTAACTGTTTTATATTCTCTGGTTCTCAGAAAATTTCTTATTTGACTTATAAGCTCCTTGATGAAAGAGATTGTTTTATTCTTCTTTGTATCCTTGACAATGACTTGCAAATAATACAATAGGTACTTAAGACATATTTGTTAAATTGTATTGAGTAGCAAACTACTTTCCTGTGCCTTTCCACATTGGTTTTAATCTTATGGATCAACAAAAAACTGTTCTTTTCTACTTGATAGACTTTTACATATGTGGATGCCACCATTTCGTCTCTTTAGTCTTTACTTCTCTAGACACTGTGAGAGTTTGTAGATCTGTAAGCATTCTAGTCACCTTAGTTTATCGTCTACTCTTAAAATATGAATCTAAGGTTGGATCTCAACCCTTAGATAAGGTCAAATAGAATGGGACAATTATTTGTAGATTAATGTTCTTTTTTTAGGTCATTAATCTCTTCTGCGAAGGCACTAGGCTAGGTGGGTACTGTGAAATCAAGAAAAATATCAACTAGAAAACCATTCCTACAGACTCCAGAACTTTGTATTGTCAATTTTGTCTGTTGATTTTTAAATTGTTTTTTCTAGCTGGGTGAAGTTTTGTATTGCTACCAAATCGTTCACCCCACTTTGGATGTTTAATAATAACTTACATTTAACTCTTGGCAGTTTACCTAATGCTTTCACATATATGGTAACATTTCATCTTCAAGGTAGGTATTATTATTTCTATTTTACAGATGGGGAAAATCATTTCCCTAAAGTTATACAACTGATAAAGTGACAGAACCTGGTTTTAAATTTAAGTCTTTCTGATTTCACTGACTTTTTTCATAGTTCTTTACCAAGAGGATTCATTTAAAAATTTCTTTTGATTTGAAGGGATATATGCCTGTAATGTTGATATTTATAACTTATCCCTTTCAGCTATTTCCTAATTCATACACTTAACAGTTACCAGAATCAATCTTAGTGTTCCCTCTACATTATATATTATTTATTTGTTAGGCATAAAATCTAACCAGATTGTGCAAATTCTTCTCAATTACTAAGGTAGAACTACGTTTTAAACTTACTTAAAAAAAGAAAACCATCTTTGCATTTAACCTTGGTATACAGGGCAAGGTTTTGGAACTTGGAATGTGTAATTGTGACTTATAAAAAAAGCAAATTTTAATTCTTCCTAATGGCTTTGGTTTTCTCATGCTCCTGCAACCTTGATATGCTTGATTTTTATAAAACAGTTTGGAGTAATTAAACTCCTCATTCTTGTTTGTTATGTATAGCTTGGGATGGTGGAATGGATTGAACCTCCTAAACGAGAACGCAAAGCAAACTACGCAGTGGATGCATACTTTAGAGAGGCTTTACGTGTCAGTGAGCCAAAGGTTCCGAAGGTAAAAAACAGTATGAGGCCATTTTTTTTTTTATATCTTATAGCAGGTTTCTCTTGTAACATAGTCTGTGATTCAGATTTACTTATATTAGTGCTAAATCATAGTCCTTAAAATATAACAACAATACAGAAAAGTACTTGATATGGCCCAGCCGCTTAAATGGATTTCGTTGTATTTATTTTTTCTATGTATAAAAAAAAATGGTATAAGTATGTTCACTTCATATACTGAAAACGTATATATGTACTGCATTTCCCCCCCACAGGCTCCACGACCTCCAAAACAGCCAAATGTTCAGGATTTTCAATTTTTCCCACCACGTTTATTTGAGCTCCTGGAAAAGGAAATTCTTTATTATAGGAAGACAATAGGCTATAAGGTAAATTTTCAGTTTTTTAGATTAGTATAATGTAATCTTTTAAGCTAACATAATCCATTAAGCTAGACTAGAAGGTGTTCATTTTAATGTGAGAATGTAAGAGTAAATCAAAATATGGTATTTTTAAAACCAAAGAGGAAATTTAACTAGAAGCAATGCATTAAGCTACCAAATCACTAATAGGATTATCACTACGTAGGCTTAATGGAGAATTATCTAATGTTTCAAAATAATTTTAATAATGCTAGTGTGCAAGTGGTTAAAGAATGTGTAGAAAAAACAATGGATGTGTGGTTAGTTAGAAGCAAATGTCTGATAGATGATAGGAACTTTCAATCATTTTCCTTAATGAACAAGAAATTTTTGTGTTTATTGCTCAAGGTTGATGAAAGCCCCATTGGTGGTTAGTAGACTATGGTCACTTAGATGTTAATGATAAACATAATAATGAATTATATAATTTTAAAATGATCTTTTAGAATTCAAAATTCTTATATAAGTGGATAGGAACCCATTTTTGTGAGTGAAATTTAATGTTTGTCATACTAAAGCTATCACATTGAGAGATTAAGCACACCAGGTTATTTTTATATGTTGAAATTGACTTCCCAGTGACCAAAAGTATAATAATCAATAGTATAAACAAAATTATACAAATGAGAACACTTGTAATTTTATAAAGTTTTTAGTTTTATGAATTGGAAGCTGTGTTTTAAAATTTATTTTATGAACCATTAACACAAGTGGAACTATAACCAGTTATTTTGGTTAAATGCTATAATGTGCCTAGAAAAGCTCCATGTATGTAAGCTATTTAGTTAGTTTATATTTTGGAGCTAGAGTGGATCTCTAGAGTGTTTCTGCAGTTAGTCCAGAGTGGGAGCATTGCCGTTTGAAAGAGCAAAAAAACTTTGCTTGATATTTATGTACCAAAGTTTAAATATATGTAAATAGGAACAAGAAACTTAAGGTGAATATAAGTAGTTATTTAGGGAAATATAATTAAATTTAAATGTATTAGACCAACAGGACTGGATAAAGTCTTTCTTAGAAAGTCGTAGAAGAGTAACCATGGTCGAACATTCAGACCAGGGATAATAAAATGGTTTCAAAGAAAGTGAAAAATAATGATATGCCAGAAGAAACACAATGTAGAATAAAAGAAGTAAAATTAATAAAGTGATTTCTAAGATTTCACAAGATTTAAACGAACATATATTATCCCACTAAGGGTGATAAAAACTTTAGGTTTAGATCATTATTTTTTGTTACTTATATTGACTGTTATTAGTGTGACTTGAAAGAAAAATTAATTGAAAAGTTAGACCTCAGTAACCAACCAAATATCTGTGTATAGCATTTTATAACTTACAGAATGTTTTACCATATACTTTATTTCATTTCCAATAATCCTGAGATAGATGCTATCACCTCTATATAATAGGAGTGAGGAAACTGAAGTTCAGAGAGGTTCCGTGGCTTGTCCAAGGTCACATAACTAAAAGAGTTGCCAAGGGTGCTGGTCTCAAACTCAGGTTCTCAATGTTCAAATGCTGTGCTCTTTCCACTCAGACATTCTGGGCTATTTTTGCATGTGACATAACCTGCTTTTTCCTGTAGCCCTAAATAAGGACTGTGTTTACAGTGGTGTGACATGTCGTTTGGGAGGTGAGCCAAGTAGCAGTCAAGTAGCTGTAATAAGAAAAAATATCTCTGCTAATAGAACTGCCTATACTCCTTCTTTGTACAGATACTGAAATTCTGTTCCCTGTGATAATACAGTGTCCACCACATTCTTGCCACAGCTCTGGTTTTAATGTAAACAGTGCATTTAATTACAGGCAATTTGTGATTAGGAGTGAGGTCTTACAATGACTGGCTGGGTGGTGGCCAACTGAGGGAGATGGAAGGAGAGAGGAAAACTTAGAAGAGGGAGGAATGAAGGGGCAACTGTGAAGGGTGATAGGAAGGAGGGAAATATAAAAAAGGAAAGGAATGAATGAGCAGATGGGAAGATGGCATGGAATCCATGATGTAGCACCTTATTATTTTCCTCACCTCTCAGAAAGAAGTGACAGGAGAGGGAGAATGAGCAAAAGGAGGACTTTTTTTTTTCATTTATTACATACTTATTGAGTAAACCTCTATGTCAGGTCCTATGCCAACCACTGGGGATAAAGTGGTGAGTAAGAGACAAGGTATCTCAGTGCATGGAACTTATGTTCTAATGGAGACAGACGTTAAGCAGATAACAGAGTAATGACATTGTTATTTGTGTGTTTTTGTACTTATAAAGGGCGCTATAAGGGAGCATAACATGGGCATCTAATGTGGACATTGAGATCAAGGTAGTGGTTCCTAAGGAAGTGTCATTTAAGCTGAAATCAGAGAGATGCACAGGAATTAGCCAAGTGGTGTGGGTGAGAAGAGCTTAACACAGGTACAAGGGTGTTGCAGTCAGTTAGAAGGAAGATTGTCTCTTTAGAAACTGAAAGGCCAGTGTTGCCAAGGAGTAGTGAGGGAGGAGAGTGACTTGAGATGCAGCTGGTGAGCAGGTGAGATTGTGTGGAGCCATTATAGGTCATATTAATGAGGTTGAACTTTAGCTTTAGAGCAAAGGAAAAACCACCGAGATGTTTTTAAGACAGAGGGATAGGTGCGTGGTGAAATAATAATAGTGACTACTTATTTAGTCCTTACTTATGGTGCTTACTGTTCCAAGTTATTTAAAAGGATTAGCTCGTTATCTTCATAACAGCCCTGGAACTACATCCCTATTTTATAGATGAGGAAACTGAGGCACAGAGAGGTTGAGTAATTTGCCCTGAGTAGTTTGCTAAAGATCAACTTATAAGTGGTCGAGTATGATCAGATTTACATTTTTCAGAGATTACTGTGGCTGTGACACAGAGAATGGTGAAGGTGAGAGAAGATAGTGGTGGCTTAGAGTGTGGTGGTTGTGGTGGTGGAGGAGGAGTGAGAATCGATTCCTTGCCATTCTACTCCTAGCCTGTACTCTCTTCAGCCCCATCTGGATTACCTCTGTATCTTCTTAGACTTGCCTTGATCCTCTGGATGCATGTTTAGCCAAGGATTTATAAGACAAATAATACATTCTGGATGTTAGTTTTCTCTGAACCTTGTCTCTTCAATTTTTTACCAGAAGCTGCAGACCTGAGTTAAGGTGGGTACTTTAATTGGGTAGATTGTACGTTTGAGTTTAGAGTACAGATAGAAGAGCACGGCATGTTAATCATCTGCAAAAGTTTCCTTTCAAAGATTATGTGATAACTGTTAAACTGTCTTCTCACAGATATCTAGCACTGATCTCCACCCCCCACATATCTCCAGAAAACTCACCAGAGCCACAAATGAATGGAGCAATAGTTTATTCTCAGATGAACAGAACCACTGTAGTACAGTTACCTAGTATTCTCTATGTACAGTTAGGTTCTCAAAAAGGGACCCTCTTCCTCATTTCTGCTTGAATGATTATTAACCTAGGACAGAGAGGTGTTGTCTATATCTGAGGACCCTGTGGTGCACAGTACCATTTTGAGTCCCCTGTAGTGAGGGGCTCAATACTTTTGAAGCAGTTGGGAAAGAGCATTTTTCCTGAAGGCCTGTTTATTTGCATTTTTATTTTGTATTTGGTTCCCATCCCCCATTTTCAGCACAACAAGGTCACAGCAGTATTGCTGATAAGATCTGTAGTTTTGTTTTATTCGAGGGTGCAAGAAGTATTGGTTGTTTTGCCCTAACCACTTGGTAGATAGCAGTGCATATGCCAGTTCTCCCTTCTAAGCTTCGACCTTGTTGCAGGTAAGACATTCAAAAACTTTATTGCTCTTGCAACTTAAAGGAGTTACTTAATGCATTTAATCATTAGTTCACTAAAATCTTTATATTGGAAGAGATGACTTAATTGAATTTTCAATTGCAGAATAAAAAAAAAATCCAGAGTATTTAGAAATTCCATTGAATCTAAGACCTGGAGTGAAAGAGTTTTGCCATATTTGAAGGTGAATAAAGCTGTAGAACATTCTAACATTTATCTTCAATAAAAAATTCTTTAGGGATGGATATAAACATTTGACAAATTGAGGAAGTTCCATAATCTTTGTGAGTTTTAGTAATGTGTCATTGTGGGCCACCTGTTTTGCAATAGTAGAACTGAAACACAGTGAGCTGATTTCAGGTTACTGCTTTCATTTTGTGGGCCATCACATTTACTTTAGCATTCCATATTTCTATGAAATTCTTGATAAAACTCTTAAGAAACAAGAACAAAAAAAGTTCTTCACTTCTCCATGGAACACAGCTCTTAATCACAAATTCCTTAGGGTCTGACTAGAAATCCATGAAGTAATCGAGGGGTTTCCTTTTGAAAGATAACATTTTGTATTTTGTATATTATATGTCAAGTGTTGCGTGGAGCCATCAGTAAAACATATAGTAATAGTACCTGAAATACTTTTGAGATATCTGTTTAGTACTATTGGTCTATAATTTGTATACTTAACTTTTATATAGCACTTTGAAATCACTTCAGGAAGCTTAATGCCGATAAGAACATCATGAGGTAAAAAATGAATAGCTTTTAAAAATGATGAATATTAAGATTATTTTATAGGAGGAGATACAGGAATTTAGGAATTTTGACTTATTTCTAGTATAAAACTTTATATGTAAATGAGTAATTTCTAGAATTAAAATAGTAAACGTGACATTGATGAAATCATTCTAAAGTTTTGCTGTATTAAAAATATGACCAGTGGATATGGAAGTAATCTGTAGTGGATATGACATAATATTCTGATTTTGCTCTTATTGAAGTTTAAGGTGGAAAATTTTAGTATTGGGGATATCTGTATAGGAAAAAAGAGTTTATTTTGTATGGGTATATTATCCACTTTTTGTCATAAAATTAAATGCTTCATAAAAATTTCATAAAATGAAATATTTCATTTTAAAATATGGTTTGTTGGACAGAAATTTTG